AAACAACTGATTAACTATTTGGAAAAAATACCATAAAGATACATGGAGGAGGGGAATTACTTTCTAAGCATACTGTCAAAGACAGAAAAAAACATAAAAGAAAAACTTTTAAAACATCCATATAGCAAAATACATCATTAATAAATGGGAAATTTCTGAAAGTACGTAACAAGGTCTTACAAATCTCTATTTTAAAAGATTGGGAAAATAGATAAAGAACATGAATAAGTAACTCCCAAATCATCAATAAGCATTTGAAATAAACATATACAAATTATTTAACCCCACCAGAAAGTAAATCAGTTTTGTTTTTTTTAAATAATATTCAAATCTAGCACCTAAAATAAGCACTCTGATAAAATGATGATGCGAGTGTACAACTGGTTCAACTTTTATGGAGAGCAACTTAGATGTACATATAAAAGACTAAAAAAGTGCATACTGTGAAGGTTAATTCTAGATGTCAACTGGTTAGATGAAGGAATGCTGAGAAACCTGGTAAAGCAATCTTTTCAGGTGTGTCAGTGAGGGTGTTTCCAGCAGAGATTAGCATGAGAGTCTGAGTGGCCTGGGTGGGAAAGACCCACTGTCAGTGTGGGTGGGAACCATCCAATCCTCTGGGGGTCCAGAGAGAACAAAAGACAGAGGAAAGAGGTGAAGCTCTCTCTCTATCTGCTGGAGCTGGGATACACTCTTCTCTCCTGTCCGTGGACATCAGAGCTCGAGACTCTTCAGATTTTGGGTTCTAGGACTTACACCAAGGACACCATCAGCCTCCCTTCCCTGGTTCTGAGGCCTTGGACTTGGACTAAGCCACACTGCCGGCATCCAGTTTATAGACGGCCTATCGTGGGACTTTTCTTCATAGACACGTGAGCTAGTTCCCCTGATAAATCCCTCTCATATAATTATAACATATCTTATTGATTCTGTCTCTATGGAGAACCCTGATTAATACACCCTATGAACCAGCTATTCCACTTCTAAATATTTGTCCAAGAAAATAAAGATGAACACTATCATTTAGTTAAGAAGATCATTAAAAAATAGAAAAAAATAGTCAGATCTAACTATCCAGCAATAAGTGATTGATTATAAGTGATGGTAAATGTGTACAATAGAATAAAAAAGAGCCATTAAACATAGTTTGTAAAAATATGTTTACTGCATTTAAGAGCATCACTAACTATTAAACATAAAAAGGTTGTTAAACTGTATATTCAAATACTTCTAAATGTGTATGCATAAAAAATTCTGAATGGATATACTGTATTTTTTAAATTTTAATAGTCGTTATCTCTGGAAGCCAGGTTTCCAACTTTTCTTTTTCTTATCTCTATCTTCTAGTTTTGGCACACTGAGAATATCTTTAAAAAAAAAAAAAAAAAAAAAAAAGCAGCAGCTTTTCAAAACTTACACCAGTGAGAAATTGCACAGAAAAACTGAGAGCATTCCCAACAGAAGAGTCTCCTTGTCCATGCACTTAACATATCATGTGGTAATTAATTAGGTTTTCTGTCTCACTAAATATGACCTCCCACAAAATAAAACTCCAGTTTATTCATTTCTTTTTTTATTCCTAAAACCTATTATAGTGCATGGCACAATACTAGGCTGAACAAATAACCTTTAGCAGGGAGCCCAAAAGCCTTGCCAAGACACATAAGGTTTAGATTCTGTGTAAGAAACCAGTACGCTCACCTATGAAACAGCCAGGGTTGCCCACAGAGTCTCTCAGTAAATACAAATTCCATTTAACCGACAGCTCAGTTCAAAAATCCTGAATTTTTCCTTGACTCCCCTTTCTCTTACTCTTTACACCCAGTCCATCAACAAGGCCAAGTGAACAGGATCTCATAAAAGTAGAATGAATAGTGGTCACTAGAGGCTGGGAAGGATAGGGAGAAAGTGGGGAGAGGAAGAGATTGGTTAAGGGGCACAAAATCATAGCTAGATAGGAAGAATAATTTCTAGTGTTCTATAGCGCAGCAGGGTGAATATAGTTAATAATTTATTGTATATTTTCAAATAGCTAGAAGAGATTTTGGATGTTCCCAACACAAAGAAATGACTAATGTCTGAGGAGATGGATATGTTAATTACCCTGACTTGATCATTACACATTGTATACATGTATCAAAATATCACACTGTACCCCATTAAATGTATAACTATGTGTCAATTTAATAAGTAAAATAAAATCCAACTGAACAAATCTTGTTGGTTCTACATTTAAAATATATTCTCCCAGGGCCGGCCCGGTGGCGCACTGCTACAGTGCGCCGCTTGGGAGCGCGGCGGCGCTCCCACCGAGGGTTCGGATCCCGCATGCAGACTGGTTCCCGCTCACTGGCTGAGCGAGGTGTGGGAGCAACACCGAGGGTTGCAATCCTGTTGCCGGTCCCGGTCCGGTACGGGCGCGACACTGAGGGTTGCAATCCGTTGCCGGACATGAAAAAAGACAAAAAAATATATATATTCTCCCAAACCATTCTCACCACTTTACTGCTACCACCCTGGTCCGAGCCAGACATCTTTTTTCCATAGAGCTGCAATAGTCCCCCTAGCTGGTCTCCCCGCTTCCATTCTCACGCACTGTAGTCTTCGCACAACAGCCAGAGTGACGTTTTAAAAGGCAAATCTAATCATGCCACTGCAAACTCAAAACCCCTGTAGCTTCCTGTCACATGAAGATTAAAATCAAAAGTGCTTCCCATGGCTTACAAGCCCTCAAGAGCTGCACCGGACATCTACTTTGAACTCATCTCCCTCCGCCTGGCTCACAGGGCTCCAGCCACACTGGCCTGCTTACTATTCCTGGAACTGGTCAAGCATGTTCCCACCTCAGGGCCTCTCCCCTCCCCCACTCCTGTCTTTTTTTCCTCTTTGCTGGGAATGTGCTTCTCCTTAAAAAGCGACATTATTAAAAAGGTCTCTGCTTAAAAGTCACCTTGTCAAAACTGCTCTTTAACCTCATTTTTTAAAAATAATAATCCTTTCCAACCAGCCTTCACTCTCTTTTCCTTTAACCTGCATAATTTTTCTTCAGTTCACCAGCTGTCATTATATTTTCCTTTAACTTGGTAATTGTCTCTCTCCTCCAGTAGAATGTCCATTGGAGCAAAGACTGTTTTCTTCACCTCTCAATTTCAGACACTTAGAATAGTGTCTACCACATCAGAGGTACTGAATAATTATGGGATAATTAATTAGGTGAATGATTACCAAGATATGCTTCAAGTTCTTATATAAACATGACATTTGGCCTAATGTCTGCTCTAAATGATAGAATATCTCCTGAGTTCAACACTAAAAAGGCATGTTACAATAAAGCAGGTAGGATAACAATATCACATTACTCGGTAATGATATTGATGTTGATACTGCTGTTGATGATGATTTAATATAGGCCTTGTGTTCCCTAACACCCAGAAAACCTCCCTCATGTCTCATCCCATTACCATTTAAGACCCATATCCACCTTATTGAAATTTTAAGTTTTTCTAAGAATTTGTGAAGAGATTTAACAGACATTGTAAATTATTCTCATGAGGAAACTTCCGTTATTTCATAATATAAGCCCATTCTCATTAAGTAGTAACCAAACATTGTTTCTTGATATGTAACCCATGAATATGGGACAATAATCTGATTTGCTAAAGTCACTAGTTATTTCCCATTGACTTAATTCTATTAGTAAAATGAGGTAAGGAGAGGCCCTGTAAAATAAACACAGGCGTGCTCAAAGCAGGTGTAAGCGAAGCCTCAGGGTACCAAGGTCAGTTGTGGTCTATGTCACAAGTAGTTTGTTAACTAAAAATAAAGTACATAAGTTCGAGAATGATTTACTTAAAAAATATATTGGACAGAGATCAGTATCATGCAGAACATTCACTTCTTTCTGATATTATATCCTAGTTGGCTGCCCTGTCATTGAAGAAAACTTAGAATGATACTCCTAACAGTCAACCATAGTGCTCCCAAAACATGATTTTTTCAAAAAACCAAGGTAAGCAAAGCATAGCACAGAATCCAGGCTATGGAGTGGGGCCACCCGGGTTAGAGTTCCATTTCTGTCAACTTAGTTGCTGTGTGATCTTGGGCACGTACCCTGACTTCTCTGGGCTCCCTCGCTCCATATCACCCACCCATAAAACCCAGATAAAAACACCTTCTCTGTAGAATTATGAGAGTTGGGACAACGCGTACAACCCACAAGTACATCAAGTAAAGTACATCTTGCCCCAAGCAAAGACAAGATGTGAAAAAACGATCTGCATCAGATGCAATCCCAAAAGCTGTGGAAGATGGAAATCTGTTTAACGTATGTGTGCAGGCTGCCAAACAGGAAAAGGTCCCCCACAATGAGTCTGTAAATTTGAGAATCTATTGGGACACACACACACACATGCCCTGAGAGGAAACAACACCTCTCCTCATATCCCAGTCAGCCCAAAAAATTATTCAGCCTAAAAAATTATTCAGCCTTTACACTAGCACTGACAATCCCAACTTTACTCTTGTAGGTCTTGTTCTCCTCAACTATGTGTTAACATCAATCCCAAATGTGACTCCCCGAAGCTGAAAAGCGAACATGAAAACTCGATGGAGTTAACCCTTACTTAGCAAAAGGCTATTGTCCCCTGCAGTGTCCAGATAGTTGAAACAGTAATCACCCACCTTATGCTTGTCATTGACAACATGCCCTTTGTATACGCGCTTCAGTCGAGAACTATGGCAATAAGTTAACTGCTAGTAGAAATACCGATGTCTCTGCCTAAACGTCCGCTTTCCAGAGTTACTAATGTCACAGCGTTGGTCGGTCAGTCTCCATCTAACCCGGGCATTTCCCACCCACAGACCACAAGATGCAAAGGGGAAGTTAGTGCCTAACCCACGAGAACAACCCAGGGCTCGGAGGCTGCCAGGCGGTTCCTGGGGCCCTCTCGCCACCAGGGAACGCGGGCGCAGGCCCGCCGGGGGACAGGCGCACACAGTACCTGGATCAGGCCCTGCTGGAACAAGGCGCTGTGCACGCAGCCGGGGACCGCCCCGGGCAGCTCCAGCGAGCCGTTCCCGTTGCGGATCTTCCAGCTTCCCCGCAAGCTGTAGCTGCGCGCCCCTGCCACGGAGCCCGCAGGGCACAATGCAAGCAGCAGGAATAAGTGGAGGTGCATCTCGGGGGAAGGTGCCGCGGTGACGCAGAGGGGTCGGATCCCGGCGCTGCAGGGAGCCCGCGGGGAAGCCGCCCGTCTGCTCGGAAGCAGCCTGGGCTCTAGCTGTCCCCGCCCCGGGGCCCCGGGACCCGCCCCCGGGAACTGGCCCCGCCCCCAAGTCAGCTGAGCGATCTCGGGACGGCAATGCAGTCAGAGGGGACGGCGGAGGCAGCACAGGGACCGGCAGAAAGATGGGTGTCGCGGCTGCTGGAGCTGAGGCCCCTGTGAACGGCTGCAGGCTGGGGGTCTTTGCAGTCTGAGCCCTGCCTCAGCGCTTTTTCCCTCTGCTCCGGTAGTACAGCGGGAGGCCAGAACTTTGCATGGTAATTGGGTCACACAGATCCCCGGGTGCAAAGTGACACAAAGCTTTGCTCCCGAAGGGACCGGCAGTATGTGGAGAGTACAGCTAAAGAGGCTTCTCACTCCTTCAAAGAACCAAAACAGGGAGACAACCCACGTTTCCCTTGCCCTAGAACTGACACCCTCCTCCGCGTTGCAGGGGTCCGCCTGGCTGCGGTAACGCCCACTCCTGCAGCTTAAGCCGCTGCGCTCAGAGCGTACCCTGCTCTATAAAGACTGTGCAAGTACTAACTACCTCATTCGTAGGGTTGTATTGAGGACTGAGAAAATGCGTCCACAGCTTACAGCATAGGGCCTGGCCTAGAGAAAGCACAGCACGTTGGCTGTGGTTACTAGAGGCCTCCGTCCTTATGTTTCGTAAAGCCCCACGGAGGACGTTTCTGAGGTTCCAGGACCTGCAGGAAACGTGCAGTTCAAAATCCTCCGCGCTCACGAGCTGTGAGGCTTGGCGTAAGCCGCAAAATCGCCAATACCTCCATTTCCTGAACTTGAAAATGGAGACAGTTACTCTTTCTTCAGGTTGTTATAAGCAGAAAATGAATTAACACATATGACCGTCTGTAACAATGCCAGGATACCCAAGAAATACCGCAGAGTTATTTCAGCTCTTGTGGTCACATAGACCACCTGAGTCTCATTTTTACAATAGGATATAACAGTGATCCTAAGAAGTTGAATTTCACGTGCTGTAAAATACCCTGACTTATTTCTGTGTTGATGTTATCTTATTTTTATATTCAGGAAGAAATGTTTGAAGAGAAGTTCTCCTCTCATCACATTCGAGCTTTGTTTTTGCCTTATAATGGCCCCAGAATTGCCTGAGTCCGTAGGCACCGGACAATATTTTACTTTTGCAGAATCAGCATTTTCATGAGTTCGGTATCTTGGCTTTAAAGACATTGTGGATTATCCAGCCCAAGCTCTTGGCTTTACAGCTGAAGGAACTGGGCCCAAAGAAGCCAGGCGACTTGCCTGTCACGCAGTGGCAGACAGCGTCAGAACGCTCCCGGCTTCGACTCTCCTTCTACTAGGAACCACTGATATTACAGGGGGAAAGTTCTCGCTGGTTAAAAGCGTTGCTCACTCCAGGGGCATTCTTACTTTTGATAGGAACAAAGTTCTCAGTTAAAATAATGTGCCATAATTCAGGCATTAAACGACCAGCTATGGTCTGTGTAACACCTTTAACAAGGCTTATGGAAAGAAGAGTGGCCAAGGAATTTTTCTTAAATCCCAGAGATGCCATTAAGCCAAATCAAAGGAAAATTTACCCAAGCCAATATGTGTGGATATATTCTGTTGTTCTAGTAAGAAATACTTAAGAAAAAACATTTTTTAGGAAAACAAGAATAGTGACTTATCATTCCCCCTTTCATTCCAGGATACAAGTGTGACATCATTTGAGTTACTTCACTTTAAGAACAGACAGCATCAGAGAAAAATCAAAACCGCGATAAGGGCTCTTCCTAAAATTTGCACAGATGACATGATGAAGTTTTCTTTCATTATAGGATAATTTTTGTGTCCGTGATTTCCTGGTAGAATAAATCTTATTTTGAAATATTCATAAAACGTCTCAACTTGTGTAAAGTCACGATACCAAATACAATGTTAAAACCAGTAGTAGGTATCTGTAACCTTACACTGTATAAACAGATTCCATTTTGGTCATCTCATTTGATGCTTCCTAAAATTTGAATTATTTAAGATAAGTCATAGTTCCCTGATTTAAAGAGACAAATAGATAAATAAGGCCTAGTACGTGGCCACAGCAGGCCAATTTGGACTTTTTGGCCCTTTGCTATATGGCAATACTTTCTTCATCTCAAAATATATAAAGTTGGTAAACTCATTAGAACACCACGATGTACTAAGGCCAGAGATGTTCCAATCCCATGATATAATTACAGAAGTTATAATAAGGAGAAGAAAATGAAAGAATAATGGGGTGTTGAATGGGTATTTTCCTTTAGACTCAGAGTGTCTGATTAATCCCCAAGGCCATAAGTATCCCCCTCAAAGGATTTACTGAGAGGTGGTCAAACTGTCCTTTGACCCTCACTCTCACCAAGCCATGGAGCCTAAACAATCAGAAGATTAAGTCAATAGGCTTAGAAGGAGAATACTTTGGCTTTTCTCAAGCCAACTGGAGAGAAGAGGTCCAATAGAACTGCTGTGGAAGTTAGGAAGCCTGCAAGTGGAGGAGTCTGGTATCTCACATCCCCAGCCAGACACTGCAACAATGGAAATTCCTAAACCCACCAAGAGTGGCAAAAACAGAGCCTAGTGAGAGAATGCTTGACATAGTCCCCTAGACTTGAAGCCCCAAATGTTAGAACAAGGAGAGAAGGTAGTGGGAACTGTGTGCACCGCTAGAATTTGGTAGGTCGAGGATGTTTGGCTTATAGGACTTTCCTATAAGCCAAGAGGACACAATAGAAGGCAACCAAGCTTGAGCCAGTATAACGGGACACCACCCAAGAGTTCAAGAAGTCAGCCAGAGGACACCTGGCCTATGTCAGCAAACTGTGCAGTACAGTATTCCCCTGGGGGAGGCTCAAAGAACTCCCACCATCCCTTAACTGCTGTTACAACCCACCTGAGAAGGAAAGGAGACGCAGAAGCATTAGAGGGAGGAGAGATGAATAAGAGCAAGGAGGGGTGTAAAAAAAGACCACCCCCCTTCTCCACTGCAAACCCCAAGCCACAGGCTAATCCTGAGCTGGCTGGGTGAAGGAGAGAAATGTTTGAGTTGGATGTGAGACTAAAATTTTAAGTTGAACTGAATACCTGAAGATAAGCAAATAGTTGTGGGATCTAACTGAGATAGCAACAACAGGCAGGAAAAAGATCAAACTCATGTATGACTGAAGGCAGCAGATGAAGAAGCTGGTTACAGGAAACTAGTTATAAAAGCACAAGATACTCTTCACTCTATATCTTGAACTCTCTTATGAGAATTTTGCTTGTTGGCTACATTGTAACATTTCTGGTACCGTAAGAGAAGCCCATCTCTCAGTGACTCAGATGAGAAAAGAAATTTGTATTTTAATATTCAGTCAATGTTTTTGTGTCATCTGGGGGTAAGGATGAGGAGCAGTAATCAGGTGGTGGGAAACAGAGCTTGAGTTATGAATCATATAGTTAAAAGCCTTATATCTAGGGATATAAGTGGATAAGTGTGCCACTTGGGAAGCGCGGTGGCGCTCCCGCCCAAGGGTTCGGATCCCACATACAGACCGGTTCCCGCTCACTGGCTGAGCGAGGCGCGGGAGCAACGCCGAGGGTTGCGATCCTGTTGCCGGTCCCCGGTCTGGTACGGGGGCGACACTGAGGGTTGCGATCCGTTGCCGGACATGGAAAAAGACAAAAAAAGACAAAAAAAAAAAAAAAAAGCCTTATATCTAATAGGCATTAAGACCCCACTGCAACTGACACATTCTTTTTTAGGTCACATGCAACACTGAAAGAAAGTGACCACATACCAAGCCACAGAGACAATATCAACAAATTCCAAAGAATTAATAACATGGAAAGCAACATTTTCTGACCATAATGTAATAAAATTAGAAATAAGTAATAAAAAGAATAAACCAAAAGAAAAAAATCCCATGTATTTGGAATGTTAAAAAAATATATATTTCTAAAAAATCTATGGGTCAAAACAATAATAGACTTCTGCTTTCTGGCCTAGCAGTTAGGGGTCTTGGAAGCCATCACTCTGTCCAAAAAACAAGTAAAAAGCTGAACAAGCTGAAAATCAGCAGCTTTTCTTAGATCTGTCAGAGAAGTGAGGTCACAGGGCAAACCACTGCCCCCCAAATTGGAGAGATAGGTGAATACAGGCAATCACAACTTACCTGAGCAGAAACCCCTGAGCTGAAATCTCGGGGGGAACCGGTATTGGGTGAGAAAACCTGAACTATAACTGACAAATTGCTGGAGAATCAATGTGGACAAGTCTGAGAGTTAAAAACTCCAAGGGGGCTTCGTCTAAAGAGGGATCATCCACACTTTTGTGAGTCTGCTTCCAGGAGCTCTACATAGTTCTCACAGTGAAGATTGGAGAGGAAAATCTCCCCACTTTATACAAGGGAAGAGGAAAGTAACCATTTTGAATGTGCCAGAGATTCTATTCTTCTTAACAAGACATCCCTCAAAAGAAACTATTTTACCAGAACCAAACCTACTGGGGTTTTATCAGAACCTAACCAACCTGATGGAAGAAAAATACCCAACTCCAGGCCCCCCGCCCCAGACATTCTGTCTCACCTAAGGGGGTGAAAAAGCTGAGAAGTACTGTGAAGTTTACAGTCAAGGGCACGGACTCATTAAAAGACAAACCTAATCATAGGATGGTGGAATGCTTCCCCTCCCCCAATACCTTCCCAACACATCACTAAAGTCTTGTTTACTACAATTCTTTTCACCCAGTACATCATGTATGACTTTCAACAAAAAGTTACAAGGCAAAGAACACAATTTGAAGATACAGAGCAAGTACCAGAACCAGACTCAGGTATGGCAGAGATGAAGCAGGCCAGAAATTTAAAATAACTAATAAATATGCTAAGGGCTCTAAGGAAAATGTAAACGACATG